TCTTTTGCGTGGCAGGCGTGGGACAATGTGCACTGCCAAGGGGTCGGATGTACGCCCTGGCGTCCCTTGGTCTCCGCCTCGTTTGCGTGGCAGGCGTGGGACAATGTGCACTGCCAAGGGGTTGGATGTACGCCCTGGCGTCCCTTGGTCTCCGCCTCTTTTGCGTGGCAGGCGTGGGACCATGTGCACTGCCAAGGGGTCGGATGTACGCCCTGGCGTCCCTTGGTCTCCGCCTCATTTGCGTGGGTTTGCGTTCACTCACACACTCACTCACTCACTCACTCACTCATGCAGGATGGATGGATTGTTGATGGATAGATTGAACAGATAGATTGCTAGATAGATAGATCGATAGATAGATAGATAGCCAGAGAGATCGATCGATGGATAGATAGATAGATTGATTGGTAGATAGATAGATATCCTGATGTAAGGACAGATACACAGATAGATAGATAGACAGGTCTGATAGATAGATAGAGAGATAGAGAGAGAGAAATAGATAGATGGATTGATTGATGGATGGATGCACGGATAGATAGTCAGATAGATCGATCGATAGATAGATAGATAGATGGATAGATAGACAGATAGATAGATAGACAGGTCTGATAGATAGATAGAGAGATAGAGAGAGAGAAATAGATAGATGGATTGATTGATGGATGGATGCACGGATAGATAGACAGATAGATCGATCGATAGATAGATAGATAGATTGATAGATAGACAGATTGATAGATAGAGAGATAGGGAGAGAGACATAGATAGATGGATGGATGGAGAGATAGAGACATAGATGGATATTTTCATGGATGGATGCATATACAGATAGATAGGTAGATAGATAAATAGATTGTTACATAGGTGTTACATAGATAGATAAATAGATAGATAGATAGATTCATAGAGACATAGATGGATGAAAGTTTTGGCCTTCAGTTGGCCTTTTTTGGCGTCGGCTTGGCATGTTTGATATACATGGCTTACGCCATTCGTGTCCCTGCCATGTTTTAGCTGGCTTTTTTGACCTGCAGGTTGCATGTTCACGTCGGCCTGGCAAGTTTGACAGATAGATAGATAGATAGGTAGATAGATAGATAGATAGACAGCTAGATAGATAGATAGATAGATAGACGTCGGCCTGGCATGTTTGATATACATGGCTTACGCCATTCGTCTCCCTGCCTTTTTTTAGCTGGCATTTTTGGCCTGCGGGCTGCAGGTTCACGTCGGGCTGGCAGGTTAGACAGACTTGTTTCAATCCATTCAGTTTCAGCTTTGCCGTCGCCCTGGCATGTTTGACATACATGATAGATAGCGGAGGTCTCCCTGGTATGCTTTTTTTCGATGTGCATTTTGGGCCTTCAGGTGGCATGTTCTGACGTCGGCCTGGCATTTTTGATATACATGGCTTACGCCATTCGTCGCCCTGCCTTTTTCCCCACATTGACGTGTGGGGTTTTTGTTTTTAGTTCTGTATCCGCTCCTCCTCGTCCTCCTTCCCGTCCTCCCTCCCTCCTCCCTCCCTCCCTCACACTCACTCACTCACTCACTCACTCAGTCAGTCAGTCACTCACTCACTCACTCACTCACTCACTCACTCACTCACTCCACTCACTCACTCACTCACTCAATCTCACTCACTCACTCACTCACACTCACTCACTCACTCACTCACTCACTCACGCACACACTCACACACGCACACACGCACACACGCACACACGCACTCACTCACTCACTCACTCACTCACTCGCTCCCTCGCTCCCTCGCTCCCTCGCTCCCTCGCTCCCTCGCTCACCCACTCACTCACTTCGCTTCGCTTCGCTTCGCTTCGCTTCGCTTCACTTCACTTCACTTCACTTCACTCACTTCACTCACTCTCACATCCCTCACTCACACACACCACACTCGCATCACTCACTCACACTCTCACTCACTCACTGTACATGAACATACATACATACACACAAACTCACCCACCATCACCGCTCCATCACTCTTATACTTCCTCTTCCCTTCTTGCTCTTCTATGGTCAGTCTAAGTTTAAAGAAGTTGGTAACATGTGGGGTTATCCGGTCCTTTAATTTTTTTTGGCCGATTGAAATTCAATCTGTGGGAAGAAACATATATTGTGGCATTATAGCAAGCAGGTTTCATCTGCCAAGCAGTTGCAGCTCTTGTGCTTCACAAGCTCGCAGGAGCTTGTACGACGATTATATCCGAGATATCAAGGACTGGGACAGCGCTCGCGTCCTTGGCACGTGACTGGGACTGTGTACAGACAGATGTTTTTCACGATGCAGATCACATCAATTTCAAAAGGCTGCAAGGTTTCTTCTGTCCAAGGTGTGCCTGTGCGCATGTAGTTTGGAAATCTGTGGAAGGATGTTATCACTATGACTATAATCATGTACTCAGTGCTCCGCTACATGTATATGTTTTGAACTCCAGTTTAGACGTCTAATTACTGACTTACGGACCGATGGTTATAATCAGAAGATGCGTTATCGGCGAGCGAGATGCATTCTCAAATTCATGAGATAGTTAGATGTCATTAGCCACGCTTTAGATATTGTTGATGCAAATGCTTTATTTTCAGACACCGCCATATGGTTATGTCCATGGATAGGTGGGCCCAAGATACACGCCCAGGTCGTCCTGCGGCGCAAGTTGAGCCAGCCGGGGAAAGAAAAAAGTGATCCAGCAGACTTGCTGTAAGTATGAAAAGAGACTTTTGCATGTATAAAAAACTTGTAGCATTGCCTGATTATATTTTTATTATATTATATTATATTATATTATATATTATTTTGTATTATATTATATCATATCATACTATAGTATGTTGCATTATATTTTATTATATTAAATCATTTCATATTATAGTATGTTATATTATATTTTATTATATTATTTTTACTTTATAATAAATATTATATATTATTTTATCGTTTATCTTATAGTTCAATTTATTTTCATTTATTGTATTGTATATTTATTTTATAATGTATACAATACATATCCTCTATTTCCCCAGGTTGTGTATTGGTTGTGTATATAAATACACATCCCAGAAAAACGCGCCAGGGATGCCACAGCGGCGTTCGCCTTTGTAGCGTTTTCCCCTTGGGCTCTTCTGCAGGGTTGATGCAGGAACTGTGGAGCTTCTCGTTGGAATGGATTGGTTGGGGGAAACCCTCAAGGAAACCATGGTGTGTTTACCCTGAAATAGAAGCGTTTCCTGCAACTTGTTGAATTCTGAGATCTATGTTGATGTGTCAATGGATTGGTTTGTTGGGGAAAATCAACTGCAAACAGGGACACCCTCTGGTAAACTAACATAACGATGGAAAATAACCATGTTCAATAGGTAAATCAAATCTAAATGGACCATTTTCAATAGCTATGTTAAATTACCGGAGGGTACGTGCTGGGATATATGGATATATGGGGATTATAATGGGACAACAGTAGGGATATAATGAACAAACCAACCCATGCTTTGAGGTTCAATGGATCGGTTTGACGGAACATCTCAACCGGAAACCAGGCCCTAGGGTTTTCCGGTTTCAATGTTCCCTTAAACCAATCCAATGGTGGTGTCATTTAAATTTAAAAAGAGGAATTTAACCCATCAACACATTCAAAACTACGTTGGATTTAAGAGGGTAGCATGGTGATGCAACGAGGATTCACAGGACTATAGGGATTTATGCTGATATATATATATATATATATATAACGGGTATTTTAAGTATCAATAAATGCGCAAAAAATGTTCTAATACGGGATGAGATGGGGTAATATCACCAACTTGACATGGCACTTCATTTTTTAAAATCCCCAATAATTAGTCACTGGGAAAGATGATGATAACCCGTTGGGTTTTGGAGGAGGACGATGTGCTGTTGGAGATCGATGGAACCGAGATTAGCCAGGCGAGAACGGCTGGAACGGCCCCGAAACAACGTCACAATGTGAGCAGTGGCTGCTAAACCCCTGTTGGTTGATGATTATAGGGGAGTATACTACCCAATATATCGAGGGTTATGATAATCTAACAGGGGCATCCCTCTTAACCAACCAGTATAATGGAATGACAGAGGGGTTTTGAACACTGGTCATGCGTATGTAGATTTAAAATATATGTATATATAGATTAACATGTACATGCCCCAAAAATTCCACTAATTTTTGCACTGGGTGAAGTGTGGATTATCACTGCTGCGGTAAGTAACATGGGCCATTTAACTTTCAGGGTGAATGTGTATATGAATATATATATATATATGTACTATTAGTGAAACCATCTCCAGACTCCATACAGACATATATATATACATGTACAAGGCATATACTATGATATAATGGGATCCTATATTTTAGCAACACTTTTTCTTTTTGTTTTGTCCAAAAACGGCGATGCCAACATGTGTCCTCGTCAGATTGGAATTTCCGTGGTGGATTGACTGTAAGGTATGTATGTTTGGTCAAATCCACATTAGTGAGAAGCGCAATTTTTGGTCAAATTTGCAGGACAACTTTCTATTCCAGGTATGGCCCCTCCAAGGTTTCCAGGCTTTCCCTTAAACCCACCCATTTTTTGCCAAGAGATTTTCGGGTTGTCCAGGATGCCACCGTTCCTTTGCGGGACAATGTGTGGGGCTCGTGGGGCCATTGCGGGTGACATGGACGGGTCTTGAAGAAGTGCGTGCATGATGCTGTGTGGGTGTGTGTGTGTGTTAGTTTTAGTGTGTTACCCTCTAAACTATCAATTTGATGTGGTTCTAATCCACCATGAATGTAGATCATTAACGGGAACCCTTGGTGTTTGTTCCATCGTTTTTGTATGTTTGCTATTTACCCTGGGGTAAAAACTGAAATGAACGCCACAAAATTGTCACTGCCACCAAGGAGCGAATCCACTTTGGCCACTTGATCGCCAAGCATGTGGCAGGCGTGAAGTGTCCCACTGGGGGCAACTGTTTCTGTAGTTCTGTGCTACCATTGATTGCCATCGTTTAATATTGAAGTCCCCATAATATGTGTCTACATTCATACAAATATTATATATACATAGTATATATATATACATATACACATGTTCTTTTTCAATTCGGCAGAGTCAACTAGGCAAGAAAGAAGCAATGCCTGTGACATGCACTGGCTTCGGACATGTTTGGACCAAAGTCAGGGAGCCTTTTCACGGCAAAACATGATTATCGCTGGGTTAAACAAACAAGACAGATTCAGATGTTGAATCATGTGTTGATAATAGGATATAATGACCTAAAAATGGATCGTTAATGGGATGATCATGGGATAATAATGGGATATCATTAGCCAACTTGTTTGGGGGATGGTAAACATACCGACCCCAAAAAATATGGTGATGACTTGGAGATGCTGGCAATAAATGTCTGAGATATTCGAATGAAAGCTATATACCTTGGACCCCTCAAAGTGCTTTCAAGTTGTTTGCCTGAAATTTGAGGTTGAATGATAATTTTACAGGTGAGAAAATGTAAGAAATACGAAAAAACATGACCAACTGTTTTCCCCGCTCTCTAATTTTACATAGTTTAGCTCTAAAAAAGATAAAACGGTAATTTATCATTACCCTCTGGCACTCTGGTAAACGTTTACATAACTATGGAAAAACGCCATTGTTCATGGGAGAATTCACTAAACGGTGACTTTCCATAGTTATGTTAAATTACCAGAGGGTATAGTTTAGGAACGGATGTGTTTTTTCTGTTTTTCTTGGCACGACCTGCCTGGACATTCCATGGACTTCGTGAGCAACTTTTCTGGTGGTTTTGGTCAGGGTCAGGCTGGTCACCCAAGACACAACTAGGAGACCTCAACGCCCGGGTGTGTTTTTTATTCTTTGTATTCTGACATCAAATCCCTGAAAGATTGTTAAAGTCGCCAATCGTTTATCACTTGAATCCCTGAATGTTGACATATTTTAAAAACCCATTCTTCAGTTCATCCACAGATCAGTTTCCCTTGGGCCCAGCCATCAATGCCGCCGGCGAACCGCTCCTGGGATCGCAGGTCGTGACAGTGTCAAGGTGAAGTTGTGGAGAGAATCGGAGTCGCTCGAGGCGATCCTTACAGGGAAAAGAGTTAAACATTTTAGGACACCTCCAATTGGATTACTATTGGGTTAATAATGGTGGTTAATAGTGGTTAATAATGGTTAATAATGTTGGGTTACTATTATTGATCATATATAGCTAATTTTTAAAAATGACTGGCTGGTTGGTGGTTTGGAACATGGCTTTTATGACTTTCCATATATTGGGAATGTCATCATACCAACTGACGAAGTCATATTTTTCAGATGGGTAGGTCAACCACCAAGCAGGTATAATACTACCTGGGTGATTGGAGTTTATGAACTAACCCATAGGATTGGGAAACCGTTTTCAAGCAAGTAGTATTGCATGAGATGGGAACATATGTTATTTTTAATGTTTTAGTTGATTGTTTCAAAGACTTCTGGCAAGTAAGAATATATACAGTACTGTTATGGAAAACAATAGCAATGGAATTCAATGGAAACAGATTGCTTCAATGTCTAATATAGCTATGTAACATGGTCCATTTTAACAGTTTTAAGAGGACAAGTTTTCTTTTGAATAGATAAAGCATCTATAATTTGTCAATGTTCCATGGCTATGTTACCAGAAGGTATGCTACCAGAATTTGATGGGCACATTGACAGGAATAGTTGACTTTGACCAAGGTTTCCTCTAGATGTTCAGATATGTTCAGGTGTTCCATGGAATACCCTCTGGTAAACTAACATAACTATGGAAAATCACCATTTTTCATCGGAAAACTCACTATAAATTGCCAGTTTCAATAGCTATGTTTGTTTACCAGATGGTATGATAAATATGATCAATGTTGTCAATGTTGACGTGCAATCGCGGATGAAGTTCCAGTGGATGATCATTTCTCGATCCAATCGTTCTGATTCGCAGCTAGGTGGAACTCGCACGTAGTCGCACACTTTACGCGTGAACATCTCCTCAGTCCAGCAATATTTTTTGAATATATACAGCTATTTGGCACAAAACCTACGCTATCTAACCAATATTTCCAAGTTCAGCATCAGTCGCCCAGCATTTCCGAGTCTTTTCAAACCTCTCATTTTATGTACCTGATTTTTTGGGGCAAATACCAGCCTTCCACCATTTTTCAAAGTGTTCATTCCCCATTGACGGGCAAACATCTACCAGAATCTATATACCTGGGTAAATTATAATATTTCACTAACCTGAATTAAGGCCATTTGGGGATGATTTCCCTTACTAACCATGATTTCCAGTGAGGTCGCAGTGGGGTCGTTATAATTTACCCAGATATACCATATATCAACACAAGAATGACATTGCCATGACGAATGGACACTTTCTCTGAGAATCCTCATGTCAGAGAACATCTAGATTATTGGCCATAGCATCATAAAATGTGGATGATTTCTTCATGGGATATATCATGATATATCAATATCATTTAAATATGATATATGATAAAGATATATCCCACGTTTTTTCCCATTGAATATCGTGAATGCATCGAAAATTTCATCATTGAATGTATAGATCTCCTTTTCCACTGGTTGCTTAATTTATAGAATGTTCTTTTCATTCAACACATCCAACAGCTAGATTCTAGATACTACTACTTACTACTTACTACTGCTACTGCTACTACTGCTACTGCTACTACTGCTACTGCTACTACTGCTACTACTGCTACTACTGCTACTAGTGCTACTACTACTCCTACTACTCCTACCCCTACTCCTACTCCTACTACTACTACTACTGCTACTACTACTACTATTACTACTGCTACTGCTACTGCTACTGCTACTGCTACTGCTACTACTACTACTACTACTACTACTAAATAATGATAATTAAATATATAATAGTAGCAAGAATAGTAAGACAGGTCTACCCATAACAATTTACCCATTCACCGAGAACCCGTGGAGGTGGATGTGGCCCTGCGGTTCGGGGCACCTGGCGTTTTTGCGATCGGCAGCGCACGAAATTGTCCTTTTAGAAAAAAGTACCTCGGGTATTTTTTTATCGTTATAATAGTACAATAGATATAATACATATATATATACATATTTGTTATGTTATTGATTATTAATTATCAGTCATTATGATCATCTAATACTATCTAACAAAGTTTGAATTTCATGGAGACAGCCTGCTCAATCAACCAGTGGCAAAAGGACATGGCCATGCGGCGACCATAGAACTGCCATTTAATCACTGGTTGGTGGTGACTGGAACCATGGATTTTTTTCTGACTTTCCATTCAGTTGGGAATGTCATAATCCTAACTGACGAACTCCATCATTTTTCAGAGGGGTGGCTCAACCACCAACCAGATAACCACTTTCCCACCATTTTCCCCCACCGAAAAAGCCATGTCACGACTGGGCCACAAAAATGAGGCCCGACCGCTGGCTGGTGCCTCGCATCGATGGCTACGACGCTGCGGCGGTGGGGATGAAGTCGGGGAAGCGGGGAACTGGCATATAAATATTATGTATATATATACATTACATACATACTGCATCATATACTGTATATATATACATACATATGTTTATATTTCTTTATATATATATATACATATATATTACAACATGCATAGGATAACAAACACACACATATATATATAATACTAATATAGTATAGGTCTGTCTGACAATAGGGGTATGGTCCCCCAATTCATGTTTTTTTGTTTTCTCACGGAGAACATGAGATTATCTTCACCAAAGACAGGGCCCATTTATGGTGGATCAACCAAGAATGGATTGATTACCAGCACCGGTTTACCACATTATCCCTGGTGAAGAGTAGTGTATCCCTGGTGTATTGCTTTATTTTTGTTACTGTGGGAATAGTAACCTGACCAGAAATTACCATTTGTGCCCCAGATGGGTTGATTTCCGGTCGGCTGATTTTCCTCTTGCGGTCAGTTATCAGAAACCCCACTGAATGTTTGGTTGATCTGGTGCGAATCTTTGGCTAATTTCGTTTCTAGAGGAAGATGACACTTATCCCACTCAGAATGGAGTGGTTGAGAGGCTTGATTTGAGGTTGGCCATAGTTTGATGGGCAATAGTAGGTGAAGTATATCCGACACTATGCAAGTTTACAATGCATAAATATGTACAATATGTGTATATATTTAATATAATATATATATATATATTATATATCTGCTCGAATGCTCTGCAGGTAATGCATGTTTCACATAATCAATCAGCATCTTCCTGACTTGTAGGTTGGTTTGAAGCCTGCAAGAGGAGAACCCCAATCAAGTCCCGACCAAGCCAAACACGTTCACCCAGCGTTTGTACATGTATAATCATCATATTCTGTATATGTGGACATTGATCTAGAACAACAAGTGAATCAGTCTCCTTATTTTACATAACATTATTTATATATGTATTATTTTTATTATAGATTATTTAATTTATATTATATTATGTTTTTTATATTTTAATATACTATGCTATATTAAATTAACTTAAATTTTATGTTATATTATATTATATTATGTTATGTCATGTTATATATATTTATGATTATATCATTTTATATTATATTATATTAGATTGTATTATATTATTGTGTATTATATAGTATTTATTTAATTTTATATTATATTATATCATACTGTGTTTTATTATATTGTAGTATTAAAATTCATATTATATCATACCATATTTTGTTTTACTATATTATATACAATTATATTTTTTAAAAACAATATTATATCATTTGATATTATATTATATTATATTATATTATATTATATTTTATTATATTATATTATATTATTTGATATTATATGATATTATATCATATATTTTGTTAATTACCTATATACTATGCAGATGTTGCAATACATATCATATATATATACATATTTAGTGGTACCTGATAGCAGGGAAGATCATTGACACCGGCCTTTTTGTAAATGCCAGGAGTACGCGATCATTGGCGGCTTGGTCTTCATTCCGTTGAGCCATCCATGGGCGGAGTTGAAGAGTGGCTTGGTGAAGGGAAAAATGTGGATGTCAACTGGATACCAACATGGGGATTTAACATGATGTTGCATGATTTTGCCACAAAAAAAAGGGACGTAACCAACAAGGATGGGGTAATTTTCCGATTTGCGGACATCGGATTTAACCAGCAAATAGAAGTTGGTTGTAACATGTTGTAACGGTATCAGCCAGATTGGCATGTCAACACTTTTGGTGTTTTGACCTCTGGGTGAAGGTACTCAGCAGAGCACTTAAAAAATGATCGAAATGTTGGTCGATGATACCATCCATATTGGGATCATCACAAACCATAGGACCTAGGAATTCCCATGGGATTTCCCACGTTAACCTGGAAATGTGAAAGCCAGCGGTGACAATGCAGCAAAAAAAACACCGAAATCCCTGACTGAGCGTCGAGTGATCTTGCGGGTGCAAAAAACATGTTTTTGACTTTCGACCATCCAATTTTGTCCAGTATCCAATTTTGCTGGGTAATCTATTGGTGTACCCTCCAACGAAAACCCAGCAACATGGAAAACCCATGAAGGTTTCCCAAAATGGTGGTAATCCTAAAATCATCCCAAAATACAGCATTTTGAACCATTTTAGTATGGAAACCTATGGAAACCTATGGAAACCTATGGAAGCCTATGGAAACCTATGGAAACCTATGGAAACTTATGGTGACTTGGGGGTCCCCCATGACTTCCCCCGAAGCTCGCCCGAAAGACATCGCGAGATCGCAGGCCACGACAAACACTGGAGTTCCTCGCGAGCCCTGCGGGGATGCCGAACTCAAAATTGGACCCAGCGGAGGTTTTCTAAAGCAACGCCCTAAAAGAAAACACACATACCAGCAGAAAAGTAAACATAATTATATAATCATATTTATATATATATACATAGTTATAGATTAATATATATATACATAGTTTTAGATTAATATAGACATAAACACATAATTTTACGAACATATCATAACATCTCAAATTCCAAATTTTAGAACAGATGACTTTCTCGGGCCCAGGATCCACCACTACTGGGGTGAAGCCTTGGACCAAGAGGGGCGTCAAGTGGTGGTCCTGTCCAAGGCGGGTGGCACCGGTGGTGTTTTCCCCACGGAGCGGTGGTCGCGGTCAATCCATGGCGCCATGAAGCCATGAAACCTTACAGTTTTTGTTGGCTATGGGGATTACCAGAAATTATATGAAATTATGCCATTATGGGGATTATAAGCCCCATTAATGCCATTTTATGGCCTTAAGCCATTGGTCCAACCAGAAATGATTGGATTACCCCAGGATGGGACTGGAAAATCCATGGGAAAATCCGGTGTTTCCAAAGTCATGGAGCTACCCAAAAAGTCATCATCCATGGGACCTTGTGGGATTTCTCGTTGTAAACTCCATGGATTTTAAGGGAGGATATTTCCCCATTTATGGACACGCCCATGTTACGTAATGTTTGGATTTAGATGAAACACAAAAATGTTTGATCATGTTAACCATTGTATCATCATATGTAATCGGTTAACATGATATTTCATGGGGATTTAGATTCACCCATTATGCTTGGATTGTCGAGATGAGATGAGATGAGATGGAAGAGAATAAACCATAATTATGCAATGTATTGACCGTAGCACATATGTTAGTCTCGGGGTATACCCGTTAGACGCAGCTGGAAACTGGAATTGTTTTGGGGATTTTTGGCCGGGAATGATGGACAACAGATGTGGTTATATTTGTCTCTCCCAGCGGAATAATTCATGACGCATGTTCTGGGAATGTGTGGTGTTTATTTGGGACCAGCCAATTTGATCCAATTTGTAGAGACACAGCCCTGTTTAGTGGGACAATGTTAAACCTACAAGAACTTTGGATGCCTGGAAGACTCAGTATGCTCAGTTTGCACGCCTTCCGGGTGCCAGTGTTGGACTGGCCCCAACCACATGTTGTTGTCTTGCAGACACATGCAAACCTTGAGTGCAAACAAGTGATTTGAGTAAATTGATGACTGTTTTCCTTCAGCTGTTTTCTAAATCAGAGTCTCTCCATCTTGATGTGCCTAAAGGTCTAAAGGCCTGAAGTTCGAGTCTTGTTTTGATGTTTTTGGCTTGAGGAAAGCTGAACGTTCAACCTACAAGGGACCCAACTCACATACACACAAACACACAAGAACTTTAGTAAAGCCTTGGTGAAATCAGTGAAGTACTTGCTTGAATTTAAGATCAAACAATGCGATGTGTTTTTTTTTCGCATCTCTCTAACTCTCTCTAACTCTCTCTAACTCTCTCTAACTCTCTCTAACTCTCTCTAACTCTCTCTCTCTCTCTCTCTCTACAGCAATTATTACAATTTGCAGAGCCCAACCAGCAAACAAATACCTACCTCGAAACACATCAAACAATCGATAAGCCCAGGCCATTTCCCCCTCTCGGGTCGGGCCAAAATGTGATGCGCCGTGCCTGCACCGTGTTTAGCGCGGGCATCGCATTCCTCTGCGGCGTGGGAGGTGCTGATCATCCGTGGAAGTGGTCAATATATTGATGAGCGGTGCTACACCCTGATTGATTGATGATTGATATCCATACATCATATACATCCTACATGTGCGTTATACAGTTTTACCATGTGTTTTACCATGTGTTTTACCATGGTTTTACCATGGTTTTAGCCGTGTGTTTACCCATGGTTTTACCGTTAAAAACTATAGCGTTCTAGCCGCCATGGTCGCGAGCTCACCCATTCGGATCCTAGTAATACATTCATTTACTATAAATAAGTATATAAATATAAGTTTTTTGTGCACTAAGTAAATGCTAGACTTTTACCATAGTATTTCATGTAATATTCCGCATTCTTATAGTAAATGAATGTATGCATGATTGGCAACAGTGGTCTTAATCTCACTATGGGATAAGGCCGTGAAACTGGTGCTAAGCAGGGTGACCAGCTACTAACTCGGGGAGTTTTACATGAAGCTACATGACTTTCGGTTCACCTGCAGTTACAAAATCTTGGGACGGCTTGGAATTACCATATCCAAGTGGATATTGTTCAAAAAATCAGGCCAAAGTATGTGTCAGCATTTGTCCGCGAGCTTATCCCATCATTTTACAAACAACAATTGCCATACATTGGTGCTAAATCCCCAGTTTGTCCTTGCTTGTTCATCCCTCAGGAAAGTGAACCAACCCATACCAACCCACTATCTTCCATACATATTTACCAGTTGCATACCAGTTGCATATCCCACTATATCCCACTATACCATACTATACCCCCATTGTGTCCCAATTGTATCCACTTGTGGTTGGTACAGTCGGTACATCCGGGCACCCTGCTACAGTCAGGTCCTGGTTTCAGCCGTTGCATCCGGATGCCGGGCTTTCGTCAGCTGGAAATCACGCAGAAGAACTGTGGCATTGCCGCATGGCTTGCTGGAAAATCCATCATCTATAGATGTAGGGCCGGGAATATATGGCTTGCCCAGGTCTATAAATGATGTTCCCAGCTAATTAGCTATAAAAATAAACCGCCGTTTGTAGGGAATGTTCCAATTGCCATGTTTGATGAAAAATACCAGAGGGTTATAATGGGATATACTGGGATCTCTAACCAACGATATGGCTTTGCTACCTGTTTTTTGGGGCGAAAAACTTTGGCCAATGTGAATAACCTCTGGTTATTTAACGTAGCAAACTGGGAAATCACCATTTTCAATAGGTAAATCATCATCCATCATCTAATGGGCCATGTTCGCTACGTTAGGTCGCCAGCCCATCTGCTTTCCATCGAGTTGGCATCAGGCGCTTGAGCGGAGCAATAGCTTTCCTCTGCTGGATGCCTCGAGAGTGCTGTGGGATTATGTGGGTCTTGGCCAACAGGCGCAGCCAGCTTCGCTGGGGCCTTCGAAGAAGATTTGTGAAAATAGGGGTTTGTCAAACCGGGGTTTGTCTAGAAATAGGGTACCTCTAAATCCATTAGTTCATCAATGTTAATCATCAGTTTCCCTGTTAAAGAGCCATTTGAGGAATAATACCCCATTTTCAAACACATCCATAGAAATCAAGCAAGAAGCATCTGGGACTTATGCTGATGTCGTCTTTTTTGTTCTCAAAAAGATCCAACAAGATCAAGAAACGGAGGGGACATCAACGGTGGTATGGCACAAGACCCTGGCATCGCAGACCAGCTGAGAGTTTAAAAGATGGGTTTCTGTTGATTGTAAGGTGGTTACAACCCCAATCAAGTCCGACCTAAGTTTACTTACGATGAGTGTAAGCCCTTGGATGGATTGCTTTGAGATTGCATCATATATATATACACATACATACATGCATGCATGCATACATACATACATACACATGCATACATACATACATACATACATACATACATACATACATACATACATACAGACACACACATACATACATACATACATACATACATAGCCATACATAGCCATACATAGCCATACATACATACATTCATTCATACATACATACATACATAGCCATACATAGCCATACATACATACATTCATTCATACATACATACATACATACATACGCATATATATATACTAGCATACATATAGATATAATATATATACTAGCATACATATAGTTATAATATATATATATATATGTAGAATCCCTTTGTATGTGTAATGTTCTAGTGGCAACTGACAGCTGCTGCAAAGTGTCGTCGCTTGCGCAGGAAGGGCCACTGGCACCATACCTTATGCAAGCACGCGATGTGGCAACGCGAGGAGAGTTGAAATTGAGGGCAGCTCGTCGGTATTTCCAATGGGAGGATAGTTAAATCAACTTTGGACTGCTTCCAGTCTTCTTTTCGGAGTATGATCCCGTTCTGAGTTCTTTGCAATGCGTCGGAAGTCACCAGCCGGTGCAAATGGGTATTTCTGGAAACGGGGTATTGTACCTGTTACAGGTTTGATAGGGACATGGTGATCAGCCAATTTTACTTGGGAGTACCCTGGTTTCAGACGAACATATATTTGTTCAAGCCTCGTGGAACCACTCAGAGGTTGTCCATGCAGTGTTGAGCCGGTTTTGTTTGCCCACGTGGCCTTCAAGTGTCTGTCTCCCAAGCACTGCCGACCAAGTGCTTGAGGATGATTCAGCAACCAGGAGATATTATACATTCACAATAGTTCCTTCAGTAAACCATCATTGAATCATTGATGTTTAGATATAAATATGTTTAAATCACTAATGACTTAATCTTGGGTATGCGGATTCTTGTTTGTGGTTCTGTTTCATTTCTATGACCATGTTTCTGAATGTTTTGTGGCCCCAGTTTCGATGATTTCCCATCCGTGGTTGCTGTCCTTCCGTTGCTGGATGTTAAAAAAATGGATCTGGAATGATCTGGATATTTCCAAAGTCCTGGATGAGTTCTTGACCCCAAAAATGGATGATTTCCTAGAAAAATACGAGGATGTCATACGATTTCTTATTTAAAATGCATGATTTCATACTCGAAAAAAACTAAAGGATGACAAGCCCATTGGGATCCGTTGGCTCCATATCCCAATGGCTGGACTTTGGCGATCAAGGCCTTGAGCTTCTTTGGCGGAGGCGCAGAAGAGGCAGCTGGCAGCTGGCAGCATTTTTTCGGGGATTTTTGGCCCTCCAGCGGTGGAGATCCCTATGTTTTTCATGTTTAAGATGGGTTTAATATGTGTTTAATATCCATCAAATGACAATTTTGATGGGGATAATTACAATGATCATTCCGAATAATTCCCATTGGAATTGGGGGTGTCCTCTTTTTTGTATGGTATCGCTGGTGACCATCAGGGATGGTCTCCGCGATTCTTGTTGATTTCTGCCATTTATAGGTATACAAAGACATAGAACGACACAAATCCATGGATGTATCAAAATTGGTCAGACTATCTGTGGGTTTCTCCTTGTCGATGATTATCCAGAAACGTTGGTTTGCCCTTTGAAATGAGTGTTGTTTCCAGAGGTTTTATCCGAGAATAGGGGATAACCCACATCCACTGTGAGAGTCTCGCATTCTCGTGCCTTCAGGAGTCTGTGGGGCCCATTTTGAGCCGATTGGACTCAGAGGCGGCAAACCTGAATTTCTCTCACATGGTTTCGGAAAAATGGACAGGACATTGCCCTTTGATTATTCAACAATACTTAACAGCTATAATCACCATTTTTTTTAAGTGAATCATCATCAGCCATCTATAAATCAGAGGTTTGTACGCAAATCCCCGTAACTTCTCAATGGTATGTGCCTGTCCCATTTTTTCCAAATCCCGGAGATGGGCACATACCCCGGAGAAGGGCACTTGACTCTGAACCCTGCAAATATTCATTTAAAAGACCTGGTGCCCTTCTCAATGGTACGTGCCCATCTTAGATGGTCACTTGTCTTGAGATAGTCCACAAATGAGCGAGAACCCTCATCCAGCCCTTCGAATAAATGAGTCATTTTTCATAGCTACTACGTTAAATACCCAGAGGGTATTACTCGGTTTAGTTCCGTTTACCGGTATATGACTTGTGGTGACATTGTGGTGTTTTCACGTGTGCTCACGTCTTCGTGGAAATGTTCCAGTCACTCAATTCTGGGACTGATTGGTAGTTTGAAGTCAACTCGTTCCTTCATTGAAAATGGGTTGAATAAATCCAGCCATACAATGTGACATAAATGCGATACCAGTAGTTATGGGATGTTATCGGTAAGACTTAGTCATGTTACCCTACATGAACTTTCCCCTTGGGTCTACCATGTTTTGTGGGGGATGAACAACCACCAGTGATTTTTTGCTGTTCACTGGTACCACAGGTTTGTTCATGTGCCCTTTGATGGGTTTGAGTCCACAACTAATCAAGTCCCATTTAGTAAATGGGTTGCCTGAATTTGAATGAATTTGATCTGGTTGGTGGTTTGGAACATGAATTTTAGGACTTTCCATATATTGGGAATTTCATCATCCCAACTGACGAACTCCATCATTTTTCAGAGGGGTAGGGCTCAACCACCAACCAGCGATGCATTCGTCGGTAGGTTGCTGGCTTGCTGGTGGCTCAACAACCCAGACTTGGATCATGGGAAATATGGACAAGTCATGGGGTTTACCCCATGAAACTCCCATTTGAAGATTCAGGATTTTTGAAGATATAACATGATATTTACATGATGTTTACATATTATTTTTGCACTTACTGTTTCTAATCACCATAGTTTCTGCATTTTTTGTTTCAGACTTCCCAGTGATTTTTCCCTTGGGAAATCTGCGAAGGCACATCGGAAGGTGACAAAGCTCATCGAGGATCATCCCAAGATGCCACCGGAGCGACAGGCGACCATGGCCCGACCGGAGCGGCCGCTGGATAATCCCTCTATTAATGGTGGCTATATATATGGCTTTAGTATGTTTCTATATGTTTCTATATGTTTGTAACTGGGAAAAGCTACTAGCATATAATTCGCATTTTTTTAAAGTATGTTTTAGGATGTGTAAGAATATAAAAATAGCCGGGAAAACAGATAACTAATTGTAATTACAAGTGGTTCTAAAGATATGGAAGTGTTATATATAGCTGGGAAACATCGAACTATACGTGGTGGATGTTTGGTAATTGAGCAATGTTACATGTTTCATGAAACCGAAGGGTAACCAATCACATTTGGAGAATCGACCAACCAATATATAATAACTAATTACTCGTTTCATCTCGTATCGTAATTATAGTTGGTGATCCCCAGTATATATGTTCATGCCCATGATGACATCGGTGATCCCCCTTTTGTTTTTTTTAATCACTAACAATGGGTCAATCGGGGAATTTTCACAAAGCATATTGGGGATTTAATCGGAATGACCAAGAAATCTGGTAGTAATTTGCCTACAATTAAGATCAACTAGGAGAATGATGATGTCGAAATTGATGAGCTAATATGTTTCGGATGGGTTGAAACCACCAAGTAGATGAGTTCGGGGTACATCCATTTGCCACCAACGTTATCCCATTTTGATGTGAAAACATGTGAAAACATGTGAAAACATGTGAAAACATGTGAAAACTAGGGCACCAATGTCTTGACCGATGAACGGACTCTAAGTCGTTGGAGACCAGATGGTCTCCCAGATGAGACATGGTGAGGTCAAATCATGACTATCATGAAGGTTGTATCAAATTTGGAACCAAATATATAAACTATATAAATAAACCCCAAATGGGCATTTATCATTGGAACATATTGGAACCAAATGGCCACTGACGGAACCATTTGCAACCCGATAAATAAAGCCCTGGTTTATCATCAACGGCCATTTTGAAGTATGCGATGAGAGAAAATAGAGAAAGCCGATGGCTTCGTTTTTTTTCTCGGCAGGAGCTCCTGCAGAAGCAAGCTGCTGAGGTCTGGAATTGGATGGGAAACTCTGAAGTCAGCTCCAGGAATTTGCTGGCAAAAACTATAAAAACCAAGTGGTTTCCTGGTTAGATTCCCTGAAACCAATCCATTGAGATCTGATGAAGCAACGAGTTGAAAGGTGCGTTTCTAAAGTATTTACCCCTCCTGTCATCAAGCGTGGCTAGCCGGACAATCCCTCATCAAAATCGAGGTTTTGATGGAAAAAACAATGGAAAAAATAGTGGGTTTTCCAGCTAGCCATGGTTGATTACCAGAGGGTAAGTTGCTTTGTTGCTATGTTTGTATCCAAATTCCCACTGAACAATATATAATATATAAAATGGGAAACACAACCACTTGACAGTCAAGAAAGCACACGTTTGAGCCTGAAATCGAAACCACCCAATTTAGTACTCCATTTTGTTACCCTTTTAGTGCGCCCCATTGATTCAGCCATTCCTTTGGAATGCTGACCGGGATGCCGACCGGGATGCCGACCGGGATGCCATGGGAGTAAGAGGAGTCAATAGCTCACTGAGGTCCATTTGATAGCTGGCTTTGAACCCAACTAGCCATGGACTTGCGAGTTCGAAATGATTTGGCTGGCAACCACGAAACACCATAGATTGGTATGAAACTGTTAGCAACTGGTTCTGGTGAGAACTCACATGTGGTATCAACATTTTCCTCAGCATGGATCAGTAGTTATTATAATTATCCATGTTTGATATTACCCTCTGGTTATTTAACATAGCCATGGAAAATAGCCCATTTGTAAATGATTTTTCTATTAAAACCTCCATTTATAAGGGATTTTCCATGGCTATGTTAAATAACCAGAGGATACTTGTAGCAATCTTGTAGCTCTGTACTCTGACCAGTTGGCTTGATGGTCCCATTGTTGGCTCAAATGAGAGATGCCTCCAGCAATCAAACGGGAATCAATGAAGTTCTTTGCCATAAAATGTTTGGGGTGTCATTGAATGTTCGAACAAAAAACATTTATATAAATATATATATACATAATATATATATATATATAGTATATATATATAGCGTATATATATAATATTATATATATTATATTATATATAGTATATTATATATACATATTATACATATTATATGTATTATATACACCATTTGAATCCCCAATAAAAACCTGTGTGAAGTTCTCCACAGCGCTAAGCTCCAGGTCATGACGCGGGCCAGAGAAGCACTGCAGGAGACCGCTGAAGGCGTCGTCTTGGCGGCGCCGGTGCGTCGATGTTTCAATGGTGGTTTAACCATCCACAATAGGATTTTATGAACAAAGTGGTGGTGTATTACCTTTAGAAAACTCTGATTTAAGCATATTTATGCGTTGAATGGTGAAGTTACCCTCTGGTTATGTCAACATAGCTATTGAACATGGCCCGTAGAAATAGTGGATTTAGCCATTGGAAATGGTGGATCTTTCCATAGTTATGTAAACGTTTACCAGAGGGTAATAGGATATCTGGTTGGTGGTTTGGAACATGATTTCTATATGTTTTCCATATATTGGGAATAATCATAATCCCAACTGACGAACTCCATCATTTTTCAGAGGGGTAGATAAACCACCCCAGGATATTGATGGGATTCAAATGTCATTTGCTGAGATGCAACAACGCAATCAGCCGTGGCTGAACAAATCCACCAAAATGGAGGGTTTTTATAGCTGGGAAAGTTAATTTATGGGGAATGTTCCATTGCCACGTGCTGGAAAATCCACCAGTTAGATCCATTTACCCTTTGGTAAACTAACATAGCGAACTGGAAAGATCCACCATTTTTAATGGGTAAATCCACTATTTCTATGGCCATTTTCAATAGCTACGTTAAATTACCAGAGGGTAGTGTTTTTGCGGGTCTGATATTTTCCCAGCCATGTCCGATTGCCGGAAGGCACTGGTTATTGTTTTTCGTTGACCACTCGGCTTACTGTAACTGACATAGAAAACAGAAGGTTCCAGCTCCCAAAATTGGCAAATAGCATGGAAAATGGGCACAGCCAGAAATAAAAACACAACTAAAAAAACAAATTCCCTAAACAATTTCCTACCCATATACAGGAAACGCATCATACATATATATATATACATATACTGTATATATATATTATAATATACATATGTATGTATGTTTATTTACATCTCCAAAGGTTATACAAAAAATATATCCCCGTAGACCCCAAACAGTTTTTCCATATCCATTGCAGCATTTGCGTGCATGTGTATGGGTATACTAGCTCCTGGTGTTGGCATTTTTTTAGCCCATCTCAATTGAGAACAGCATGAATCACAAGCAACATGTTTTTCACGTTATCTGGGGTCTATGCTGGTGCAACTCTTGAGACAAGGAGAAGACACAGAGGGAGAAAAGAACAGAGATAAGGATCAATCACAAATGAAATCGCGATGAAACAAGAACAGGACACCGCCACTAGGGGAGACATATGAATGGGGAGACAAATGAAGTGGGAGACAGATGGTGAGAAACAAATGATGGAAGACAAGCACAAAGGCAAACAGGCGAAAGAATCGGACACCATCACAAAGGCAGACTGATGATTGAAGACAAATGAGTTGGGAGAGAGATGAATCGGGAAACACATTGTAAGAGACAAATGATGGAAACATATGATGATGATGGCGATGATGATGGTGATGGTGATGATGATGGATGATGATAGAAGAACGATGATAGATGAATGGTGACAGATGAAGGATGATAGATGATCAATGATAGATGATAGATGAACTATGAACTATGATAGATGATAGATGGTAGATGATAGATGATAGGTGATGATAGGTGATGATAGGTGATGATAGGTGATGATAGGTGATGATAGGTGATGATAGGTGATGATAGGTGATGATAGGTGATTGGTGATTGCTGAGTGATGATTGATGATTGATGGGTGATGGTTGATGGTTGATGATTGATGATTCATGACTCATAATGTTGGTAGGTGATTGATGATTGATGATAGATGATGATGACGATTGATGTTTGATGTTTGATGATAAAATATGATGACGTTTGATGATTGATGGGTGATGGTTGATGGTTGATGATTGATGATTCATGATGATGGATGATAGACGACCGATGATAGATTATGATGATAGGTGAAAGGTGATAGGTGATAGACGGCGATGATGATGATGATGCCGACGACGACGACGATGATGATGATCATGATGATGATGGTGATGATGATGACGATGGTCATGGTGATGATGATGATGATGATGATGATTTTGGTGGTGGTAGCGATGATGGTGATTGGTGATAGGTGATGGATGATGATGATGATGATGTTGATGTTGATGATGATGATGATGATGATAGTTGATGGTGATGATGATGATGATAGTTGATAGTTGATAGTTGATAGTGATGATGTTTCGGTTGTGCCTTGGTCTTGCCTGCTGTTGCAGTGATGCATTCCACATGGCGATATGACCAAAATGCACCAACATTATACAATATTCACTGAAAGATTTTTGTCCTGAAACTTTGTGAGATTGTGTTTTTTTTGGAATTCGGGCTGAGGTAAAGATATGAGGGTTTCTCGATTCTTGCAATGTTTTTTCCCCCAAATCACCCAGTTTTGAAGGGTTTCTCATTTTAAACCATCCAGCTTTTGAGGTACCCCCATGCTAGGAAACCCCCATATGGCTAAGTTATCATGAAAGTTTGATTAGTCACCAACTTAAATCGCTGTCCTAGAGCTCGAGCTGTTTCTTGGTTGAATCCCCATGAAAATTATCTCCACCCTGATATCTTTTGATATCTCATTACTAGAGATTTATATGCCCATCATATCCCATGATGTTTGGATTTCCATGGCATCGATATGCCAATGGATATCCAACCTCCAGCTGTTTTTTTTGTTCGCAGGTTTGGGGGAGAGACGAGCTTGGCTACCGGCATGGACTTCGAAGATTCAGGTCCTAGAGGCGCAGACAGTTGTCGGAGAATTTCGGGGAATTCATCAAGCACTTTATAGGAGATTTCATGGATTACATCTTGTGTATAACTATATGTATAATTAACATATCTAGTGTTTAAGGGGGATATAGTGGGATGTTGGTTGGTGGTTGGAAGTATGTTGGAAGTATGTAGCGGGGATGTCAATTGGGGGTTTGAGGGAATATATAACCAACAGATCTGGTATTTAATGATAATATGATTAATAATATGACTGGTTCAACCCATACAGGGCTGGTTGGTGGTGTCAAATATAGCTGGAAAACCATCAACCAGTAGACTTTTTGCCGGATGAAGGATTTTGGCCTTAAAAAAACAGAAAATTCACTTCGTCACTTCATCCTTTTTGCAGCAGCACAAGATATAGATGTATTTTTCGCAAGACTGAAGTCAAGATTATAAGATTATACTACGGTAAAAAAATGTTGGAATTTGCCTCAAACGTGGTGTTGGCTAATAAGCATTGATACTGGGTCGACATGAATGGCATGTTACTGGAAGACTGGGAGTTTAAACCACCAAAAAGGCAGGTAACTGGTTGCTGGTTTCACTGTCTTCACCTTCACTGTCATACATAGTCTGGTGTGTTGAAACCGCCAGGATAGTTTTTTTTGAAAACAGGGTACCCCAAAAACTCATGGTTCGTGATCAATTTCCATAATTGTTCATGGCCAGTTGGAAGGATACCCAATCCTCACACACACACACATGTTCGGTAGTGGGGAAGTGTTGGTTGAAGGCGGCCAGAGTTTGATACTAACATCCTGATGGAGCGACCCAAATTCTTCACAGTTGCCATGTCACCGTCTCGGTTTTGCCACATCAATAAGCGGGTCCGATACCTGAATTAATGTACATAAATTGGTTGACAATGTTTGTCCACACTTCATTTTTATCCAAGACATCTCACATTCCGTGACCTGAGCGAACTGTGGCATATAAAAGTCGCCAGTTCCATCTAGTTCAGGACTCTGGTCGCATATCTGATTCAGTGTCCTGCGGCAGTGATGTGCAGCTTCGGATTTTGGTTCTCTGATGGGTAGTAGCAGCTGCTGAAAAATAGTTAGGGACATGAGGGGCATACATGCGCGCTGAAATATACTTTTTCTTAGGCATTACTTCACAATTTTATAAGGAAATCACTACCAACAACCATATCTGAGGCTGACTTAAAAACCCTGAGCATCGGTTACTGATCCTAATCAATTAGAACACATTTTGTTTATTGAAAATTATTGATATTGATTGAACATATTGTTTTTTCAATATCAACAAGTATTGATATTGATATTGTTTTTCCTTTTTGATTTTTTTGGTGTTTATTGATTTCCCAATTGATTCCCACTATCTACAAAAATCCCACAAATCGATGCGCATAACACTTACCATCATTCACCATTTGCTGGATTTTATCAAGATAGGATGGGATGATCACTTAGTAGGATATCTTAAATAGTTATACAATATATATATACATTATACATATACATAATATATATATAGTAATATATATATATAGTAATATATATAGTAATATATATATAGTAATATATATATATATACATAGTAATATATATATATATATAGTAATATATATATAGTAATATATATAGTAATATATATATATATACATAGTAATATATATATATACATAGTAATATGTATATATATATACATAGTAATATATATATATAGTAATATATATATATAGTTGTCTATTATATAGCCCATAGCCCAGTTACATTTCGGTGATCACCATCGGGCGCCATGCCGCGTTTGCTGCCATTCCTCTGGCACCTGCCGAGCCTCTGCCTGGCGGATGGACGGCTGGAGTGGCCCGCAGTGGCCAAGGATGGCTGCGCATGGTCAAGAAACATCAGCTCACAGTACATGTCTAAGGACCGGGCCGAACATGTATCATGTATCTACCTATTCCTATTCTACCTATTTGTTTTATCTTCATCAAGATTTTGAAATCGAATCGACGTTTTGTCTTAGCCATGATCCATCATGTACGTAATATCATCAGATATATGGGTTATCGGGGTTCGTGACCCTATAGTCACACGACTGAAACATGTGAAACAGGGGGAGATTGGCATCCGCACCGGATCGGATATGAATTCAATTCGATTCTGCCCTCTCTTGGTGAAAGGTGAAACACTGGCTGGTTCTATATGGCTGAGGCTTGATGAATCTTCATGATGTGTACGACTGTATGATCTTGTATGATCTTGTAAGCAAGAACATGGAATTGGCCAAAAAATAATAGTGTTCTATGCATTTCTATGCTATGTTCATTTGTTTTCCAGGTGGAAGGTGGCTAGATCTACCATCGACTCAACCTGCAGGAAGACTGTTTCTTCGAATGTGAGAGGCAAAGCGACTGCAAAGCAGTGTTCATTTGGGAAAACAACGGACAGCTTCAGCCGAGTTGTGTCTTGATGTCTGAGACTTGCATCCCCAACGCTTTCGCTTGTGATGCAGACTCTTGGTGTAGCTACAACAAGCCTTCCATAAGCCTCTGGCCCTTGACGGGTCTCAACAGCTGTCAATGGCAACTCGGACCGCGGATGTTGAGACTTCTTTTTGATCAGGTGTTATTCGAGGGATACATCAAAAACATCAGGAAACTCGACTAGACTATGTGGGTGTACAAGTAGGTTGCAATGAGATACACATCTCACTTGCATGTGAGCAGGCACAGCGGTTGAGGGAAAATACAGGAATCCCCGTCTTTTGAATGCAACAACCATTGGTTTCCCCAAGATGAATTTAGTGACATGTGATATTGTGAGCCACAGCAAAGAAATATCAAAGAAAGAAAAACCAAGCAAGGCCTGCAAGTTGATACGGAAGCTTCAGCAAATCCACAACTTTTGCCAAAATCACCATCTCTGAGTCATGTTTCGGTGCCTGAGGCAGCATGATTTTTCAGATGAATTGCCTACCTCTCCAAGATATGCCAGTGCACAAGATTGCTTTGATGCCTGTGGACAAAGCTCGCGATGCCAAGCAGTTTTCATTTGGCAAGAGAATAACCAGGAAAAGCCCAGCTGCGTTTACATGTCCCAAGCTTGCGACGTCAATGCGGACACATGCGGCCCTGCAGATTGGTGCCTTGAAAACGGAGATGGCCGTGGCTGGTGTCTGACTATGGGGTACCTCTATGGGGACCGACTGATTTTTAAACCTCTCAATGTGACAAGACATCGTTGAAGTCTTCCTGTTTCAGCTTGGAAATCTTGGAATTTTAACGCAGACACGTGTGGAGACACTCCGCTACTGTCAGAACCACAATTCAGATTGAGAAGTGTTGTATCTTCGAAGCCTGTTTTTCATGTCCCCTTCTGTGTCCTTTTGTCGCTATAAGCAGCGCACCAAATGTTGTGGGTATCAATTGCTCGCAGTCTTTTTCTGACTGTCATGACATGCATTGTCTGGCTTGACTTTATCTGCTGTGGATCCCAGATAAGGATCACCAGTGACGTTCATGGGGTTGAAACCATGCATTGAACAGAAATCGTCAATTTTCCGTCTATATGGGTTGCTTCAGAGGTTCCCCGGACGTCTCAGGTGTGGGTACAACAAGCCCGGGCAATCGCCAGCCACGCCAGCCACGAGGTCTCACGCAGGGCCATTGTCATCGTTGTGCTGGGCCTTCTCTACGGTGTCTGGCTGGTGTGGACGATTGGGGCAACCTCCAAAGGATTTGACCGTTGATGTTTCAGTATCTGCTTGTATGGTTTGGAACATGGCTTTTATTTTTCCATATATTGGGAATTTCATCATCCCAACTGACTTTCATATTTTTCAGAGGGGTTGAAACCACCAACCAGTGTTTCGATCTATTTCTCTATGTGGAGAAAATGGCTGCTGCGTTTGAAGATAGTCAGAGTCCGTGAGCTGGGGATCTTGTTTCACCAACATGGCAAGAGGCCTGTCCAAAAGTAGCGCAGGTGGCAAAAGACGCAAGCGGGACCATTTCTGCAGGGCTGGGTTGAGCGACACAGTGATCACACAGTGGATGGCAACACCAAGGAACTCCGGCTCCTGCGACATATAGAACCCAAGGAGTGCATATGACACCTTTCTTTTGGTTAATTCTAGCTGCTAGATACATCTGAATACACTTTTGATTGGTTCTTGTACCCCATATTGTGGGGTGACGGTCGACATTTTTGTTTTGAAATATGTGCTGCTTCAATCCCTTTGTTGCTTGAAATCCCCATAATCCTCCTTTCTGTGCTTCACTCCCAATCTTTGTTGCTTGGAATTGCCAAAACATAGACCCATTTTTGCCAGGAAAAGGAACTTGAACGCGGAAAAGCACCTCATGGTCAAAATCCATGTTTCCCAGAATTGAAGGCTTACTTGAAACTGGAACCACCCCATTTTTAATGTAAACCATCTAAAAACCTCCGGTGTCCGGTTCCATTTTTCTCAACAGAAATCAGGCAGCCTTAGTCCAGATCACCACACCAGAGATGGCTGAGACGGGGATGCAGCAGGGGAAAGGACAAGAAGCTGACGTAGGCTGGACTGTGGAGATTTCATGAGATTTCTGGAAATTTTTACATAAATATAAGGATATAGTTGTATATATTGGCATAAAATATATATATATATATATATATGGAATATACTATATTATTATATATACAGCTTCATATAAGCCAGACTGCTCCTACCGCAACATTAATTCTGCACATGTTAACAAGTGTATTTCGCAGCCCTTAATACAAGAAACCTTAACAGGATATGAGTAGACCTGTTCAGAAGACCAGGTTTTGATGATGCAGTATGTTGGTGATCAGGTGATGAGTTGTTGGTGAAACTGACAACACAAGAAGAGATGTGAAGGCACAGCCGACAGCTGTGAAGCATCATTTGTAATCCATCCGGACCCTGGTGTTTCTTAGGCACAATGTGTTTGATCTGGCACACAAGATAATCTCAAACAGTGTTGATATTTTCCATAATAGAAAAGGGATGTCATCCTTCCCATTGACGAACTCATATTTTTGAAGATGGATAATAAATATAATATCATGTTTAACCAGATTGCTGTCTATGTACATATCTATATGTATACATAAGACTGATAGATATTATATAAAACCATGATTTACGATATAATATGTACTCCATCCCTTCCACCAAATCAAACACACCATTAACAGACCTCCAAGTAATGGATCCTGAGACATCCTCAACAACAAGGGTTTCTCATTAGTGCATTTGATATGGCCTCATTAAACTGAGAAAGGGTGGGATGAGTTACCATATCTTACCATCTCTTTCCCGTTATTGGTGTTGATTGCACACAACATTGGTATTAACATGTATTTGGCCATTGCCATTATGGATGATTAACATTACAATTACACGATTAATATTATGGATCATGTTCACCGGTACAGCATATTGTGATTTATTGACATGTAGCATTGTGGACTGGCCATGTGTCACACACAAGGCCACACGCGGGGGTGACGACTAGGTTCCAGGTGGCAATGAGTTCATATCATTTCACCCAAACACGCAATGTTCGAAACTCCTGTCCAACAACACGACCAACAACACCAACACTTAACAAACCCATCCACAATTTACAACACTAACCGGAACACTAACCCAACACCAGAAACACTACCACCACCAACACCATTTTCCAGGGTAGCACTGGGGAACATCCAAACCTGGATTCCGTTCAGCAGCCATTATTTCATGGACATTGCAGGTTTTGAACGTGGCAATTAATGGGATATTATTCAAATCCACTTGGTAATCATCGTGTTCCCCCATTAAAGTGGACATTTCATGGGTAAACGAAGGTTTTTGGACAACATCATCATGCATTTCTGTTGTTATGCATGTGATCTTGATGTCCCATCATATCGAACCGATGTATAATAGATATTTCCAGGATGTCTAATTCGATTATTGAAACAAGAAGTAATATCATGGCACATGGGGCTTTGGAGTAGGAACAAGTACTTCATGGAATGCTGCCTGAAGCGTTGAAGAAGGCACCACTGCCCCAACTATACAAGAGTTGTGCTCGTTTCATAACAGTCATGTCGATCTGAGAAACACACAACTGGCCCCCCCGTTAATCTCACTTTGGATAAGAACATTGAGGGTAGATACATCTATACATATACATGAGCTGTTACATGAGTTAACTCCCTTATAAATAGTATCATAACATATTTTTGTGGGATGTCACACCAGCTGATGAAGAAAACCCAGTCCAATCTCTAATCCACTTTGCGAGCACCAGGATGTCCAATTGTGGGCCGCAGTGCGACTTCAGATGATGAATGATTCTGACCTGGAAATACGTTTCTAACGGATTTATAACCCATTCATCCATTCGCTGATTAAATATGGTGGAGTCTTCCATATGTTAAATGACTAGATGATATCTGGATTCCCTTGATTGGAAACTGTCCAACTCTCAACGCCGACGCGTCGCGTCGTTGTTGGCTAAGCTCAGGTCATCCAGGTGAGTGTGCACCCATCTGGTTGGTGGTTTCAAACAGTGTTTATTTCCATAATAGAAAAGGGATGTCATCCTTCCCATTGACGAACTCATATTTTTGAAGATGGATAAAAAACCAACCATTATTATAGACATAGCCATCAACCTGAATTAGTGCATTTGATATGATTATGAAAATTATCACCGTTATGGTATTAACATTGGCCATTGCCAACACGTATGGATCATGTTCACCGGTATTGATATTATTGACATGTAGCATATCTGTATATAATATAATATCATATCACATTGTTCGAAGAAATTCAATACCATCTGGTAATCGAAGCCATGGCCCAATATATTAATGTTCATCTGGATTCCGTTCAGCAGCCATTATTTCATGGACATTGCAGGTTTTGAACGTGGTAATTAATCTGGCCTTCCCCCATTAAAGTGGACATTTCATGGGTAAACGAAGGTTCCAGACACATCCAGGTGATTTATGGAACGGCCATCCTGAGGCAGGGCCTTTCCAGGGACAGGGAAACACCAAAAAAACATGTTTGTTGGTTTATAAGCCTCAAACATCTACCATACATCTTAGGTAAGCTACTTATAAATTAACTCAGCTATAAGTAGGGATCCCTACCCTATAATGGGATAGTTGTGGGATATCCAACGAAAGATTTTGTTGCGAGATATCTAAGATCGCCCTGATCCACATTTTTGCGAGCTGAAAGTGTCCAATTGTGGGACTTCAATGATTCTGACCTGGAAATACGAACGGATTTATAACCCATGTTTAAATATGGTGGTCTTCCATATGTTAAATTATCTGGATTCCCTTGATTGGAAACTGTGACTTCAACGCCGACGCGTCGCGTCGTGTTGGTTCAGGTCATCCAGGTGAGTGTGACCCATCCCCATTTCACTGGTAAGTTCAATTTAGATGAAAATTATCACATGGTTATAACACGTATATATATATGTTTATATAATATAATATAACATAGAAATTCATCTATCGAAATCTATTAATTCATTTCTAGATGAGCTAAAATGGCCTTAGGGGTGAAGCCCAGACTCCTGAGGCAGGGCCTTTCCAGACAGGGAAACCCAAAAAACATGAAGGAAGTGGGTTTGGCGGATGGCGGATGTGATTTCAATTTTGGACATTGCATGTTTGTGATTAAAGAAATCAGGGGGTAGGCTACTTCATCACAATTTGAGGCAATCCTTTGGGTCTGGGTTGTGACGAGAAGATTTATTTTCCATGTTCCGATAGAAAGAATATGTTCTATGATTTTCGATGATTGTCCATGTTCCATAGTTGTTTTTTTCGATGATTTTTCCATGTTCCAGTACTTTGAACATAAAAATATGGAAACATATGGAAAGAAATATTGAAAAAATGGAAAAATATGGAAACATATTGACAAAAGATGGAAACATCATCCTCCAGGATGTTGAACACTGAACATGTTCCACTTCCATGGCCCCCCAGACCATCCGTGCTTCGACAAGAGAAGGGCCGAATGCTGCAGGGCGCGTCCCTTGGTAGGTTTCGGACCGTAGGCGGATCTCGGAAGGTAAAATACCAGGTTTCTGACGTCTCCTTGTCTGGTCGAATTGAAGGGAGGACACTAGCGTGCTGGGAACTTGGGCTAACGCCTCACCAGTTGTGTCGTTGGTGAGGAAATGTGGAATGATATAAGTGGATATATATATATATTATATTAGATAGATACCAAAGATCAAATTCAAAAGTGAAGTTGACTTTGGATGACTTTGGACAATACCTGAGAGTCTGAGAGTGCTCCAGTGTTTTGATATGTGATGGCTTAACCGAAATGGGAAGGAGCAGTGCCACATCACAATTCCTGGTCCTGTTATTTCACATCCATCCAACATGTTCTGCGCCATGCCCATTGCAATACCCTTATTGTGGTTGAAGCTTCTTAAGAGCTTCTTTTCGGTCAGGAAGACACATCAAGAGTGTGGTAAAATAATAAGAAACCACATCCTGTTGGCCCCCCTTTGACCATGTAGGGGACCATGATTGAAAAATCAAGACCATACCCTGAAAAGGAGTTTATGGCATTGGGTTTACCACAGTGATCCCTTTCCCCAATATGAAGCATCCATCTAGAAACCCTGGAAACGCTGGTTCAGCATTGTGTCAGTATTGGATCTATTCATATGCCATATGAGTATACTGATGTATACTGTATTTATATTTGATCCTAGGGAGATAGGACCGGATGAAAATCCTTTCTATTCGGTATATGATACAGGTTCAACCTCGTTTTTATTGGTTAGATAAAACCCAAATGAAGGTTTCCTAAAATTGTGGTACCCCCAAATCATCCAAATTAGACCATTTTAGTATTTAAATTTAGGATTTGGGGGATCCCTCATTTTATGAGACCGCAAATTTGGTTGAGCGAGGTTTGCAGCCAACGTTGCCGCAGCCTGCGCTATGGAGTTGGTAGTAACTTGGCGGTGTTAGCTGTCTAAAGTTCACCAGCTATTGATGTAAGATGATACTTGTTGTAATCAAATTTATTAGATCTTTACCATCTGTGTGATTTATGTACGTTATATACATATAATTATATATATATATATATTTATTACAGCAATTTTCAGTACGTATATTCATGATTTTGTATGACATGTCATCTATTTGTAGAGGAATATGATAATGTGCATATCACATATCATATATCATATATTATATATCATATATCATATATATATAGCCAAGCCTAAGGTTTAAGCCGACCTTGCTGCGCCGAGGAGCAGCCGGATGAGCAATCTTCTTGGGCCGTGAAGGTGAATCTGCCGGAGGAGCAGGCGCGCAGGCGCCAGTGGTTTTTGTTACCCTCTGGTAAACATACAAAAAACTATGGAAATCATATTTTTTAAATGGGTAAATCACCATTTTTGAATGGGTAAATCAACGAACTTTCTATGGCCCTGCAATGGCAAACTGTGCATGTTTACTCTAGAGGGTATTTCTTGTTGGTGTATGTTCATGCGTCATGCGTGACAAGCTTTGGGTGTAGCCTTTGTTGAAGGAAACTCGGAAACTGGAATGCTCTATCGGATAATGGTTCCCTTGGTTGTCAGGGAGCCCGGGCACAGATTGGACAAAATCGACATGATCAGCAGAGATCTGTCCTCTTATCATCATGAAAATGCCCAACGGCAAGGGTCATGACAGCAAACACGTCAAGCTGGCTTAAACCGAGTTTGCAACATGTTTGTTTAACCCCAGTTTTATTTGAGTAGTGTTTTTTTCTGGATCCAGAAAAATAGATAAAGTGGGAACTCCACAAGACATATTATGTCCCAGGCGCAGGCTCCCATGCAGACGGCATAGGTTGCGTAGGCATTGGCATAGGCTCATTTTGGCCTACACCGCGTAGGCTTTGTGTAGACACGCGTTCGCAAGAGTTAGAACTCATTCTTCTGCCTTGGTCAGTTGTGTGTGGTTCCAAAGCCTCATGCCACAATTGGAAACAAAAAGAAGGCATGGCCGCGTAGGCAAAGCCTACACCGTGTAGGCTCGCGTAGACACCCCTTAAAAACCATCCCTCGCGTAGGCTACCGCATGCAATGGCGTAGGCTCGGCGTAGACAGTTGCGTAGGTTGTATGTTACTGGTTATCGAAAGACAAGAATTAAAAAAAAAACACGACCCTCTGATAATTTAACATAGCCATGGAAAATGGCCCGTTTATAGATGGTTTACCTATTACAAATGGTGATTTTCCATGGCTATGTTAAATAACCAGAGGGTACTCATTTTGACTCATGTTTAACCTTCTTGAACATGCGGTGGAAGCCCTGCATCACATCACTAAGGTTGTCCTGGCACAAGAAAGGGTCAATGCCTTCCTTCAGGCGGCTGGCCGAACGACCCATGCTCGCTATTTCAGAAAACATGATGGCTCTAATCATCATTGATTCCCTATATTTTCCTATGATGGCTGTAATCTTCTGGGTGTCCCCCCATTTCCAGGCACAGCCTCATGGTGTTAGCTTTTTCTGGAGTTGATTTGAGGTCAATCTTGGAGATGATATGGAACCACGAACAAAGAGCCTTTGACAACCGCATTCTGTCAATTGGGGGGATACAGGATACATATAAATATATATATAAAGGTAGGTCTACTATTCATATTTATATATTAATATATACATACACATACAGGTTAACTGGTACCATGGTTTACTCAATATCTCAATTGTTTGACTCTGGCGGCTTCTCGAAGCCTTGATGCTGTCAGGACGTTGAAGAAAGAATGGAGCAGGGTAGGCTATCGATTTACGTTCGCATGGCTCGCGAGGAACAAAACGGGACGAGTGCTGCCTGAACGCCGAATGGGGAAAGCATGGATGTTGGACAGACATGGAATGGGGAATTTCTGACTTTGATTTGCCTCGCGATCGTCTGGGGTACTATGAGACCCTTGAAGAGTGCTTTCGTTATTATGTCTAGTTGGAGTGGATGAAACCAACTATACATATTATACATATTATACATATTATACATATTATACATATTATACATATTATACATATTATACATAGTATACATATTATACATATTATATATATACACACATATATATATACACATATATATATATATATACATACATATATATATATACATAGATATTATATATATATATATACATATTCATACATATATATATATAGAACCCGGGGTTGGTTCACTACACAATTCACCGCAACGAAGATTTTTCAGGCCGCTTGTAGGAGGTTTTGCTCACGCAGGTGTTGGCACATCCATGCAACGTGGGATATCACAACCTGAGCTCCTTGCCCGCAACAGGTCAGTCAAAGTACAAAATTTGGCAGAAATTGTGAGAAGTGGTTTGACCAAGTTTCCACCTATGGAGAAATGGTGAGAAATGTCCACCTCTTGGATTTCCACCTGAGAAATGGTGAGACCATCAAGAATACTCACGAACTATCCCCAAAAAAAAGATCAAAAAAGTAAAGGTCTGAATTTTGGATCATGATCCCAGAGACAATCAAGACTAAGTTTCTCGTTGGGGATTCCTGATGATGCAACTCCTACCCCAGGTGACAAGATTCTGATGATTTGTAGCAGTTGAAGGTCATTGCTTGGTTGGCGAATATTGGTGAATGTTGGTTATATGTCGGCGAATGTTGGTTAGATCATCTTATATTCACAATTGAGGCAGGTTAGACAAATCAAACTTTACTGTAAGGATTTGGTGCTTTGGTACAGAATCCTCTAGTTTTGTGCAGGTAAATCGACAACACTTGGTACATTGTTCATATATATATATGACCTTATCACCTCACCATCACTTCATCTCCACAAAAAGTTTGGTTAGGTCCCTGTCTGCAATCCCAGATAAGTGTGCTATAGTGTGCTGGTATCCCCGATTGCTGGGAACAATCCCATTGTTGTTGGGTGTTGTTGTTAATGCCCACGTTTGTTGTGTCTTGAGAAAAATATCAAACATCATGAAAAAAATCTGATGCTTTCCGATAAATTTCCCTTCTTGCCCAGATAAAAAGTATAGATCCTCAGTTTGATCCTGATATTTAATATGTCCATTTTGCCCAGGCAATTTGATTTTGTCGCGTTTCGCGGGGCAACCCATGCGCAATGTGGCGGAATTGGCTCGGGCAGTGCGCCAGGGAGGATGGGAGGTGGTGAAGGCTTTTTGAAGGGCATTTGACGATTTACCTTACTGTGGAAAAATGGAAGACTTGGTGAAACTGGGATTTTCTTGGATTTTTCCTAACAGAAGTGGAGGTTTTAGATGAAGTACAGATTCAGGCAACAAACATACGTAGTATCACCTATTTCGCGTATGCAGCCACCATGTTTCGATCATGATCCTGGGAAGTCGTTGGATGTCAGGTATCTCGGTGTGAAGAGGAACAATTAGTGCATGAAGACTCAGATCCACGGCCGGGCTGGGAGCATTTTTGGCTTTGAAGTCCTCCTTTCACGAAAATTCAAAAGATGTGACCAAAGGAAGTGATGTTACAAGAAAGCATGATCCCGCAGATTGAGAAAAAATAAAGACTCAATGCAAATCATTGAACTATAATTTATATATATACACACAAATAGCGTCACAATATTGTGACTGATGCCACATGTGGAGCATCCATTCGCAAGCATCCAAAGTGTTGATCCTGTCCAACTAAGACCCTGAATCATATATGGGTTTGTCTGTGCATGGAGTATTTTAGATGCTGACCTTTTGGCTATGATCAAGAGTAGTATCTGACACAACTGACATGACTGTGGTAGGTAACAACCACCTCCTACCGCAGGCTTCTTTAGCCCCAAATCAAAAAGGTGCTCACGCTGCTCCGCAAGCAGGTTATGAGCCCAAACCGTGCCTCTCGTCGCTGAAACATGGCGCATCGACGAGGTAGAAGTGTTCCAGGACACCGAGAAGGGCGTCTTCACTTGAATGAAGGTGAGCCGGTGAACCCTTTTTGGTCCCAAGGAGTACAAGAGGCAGCAATGGTGGACAGGCTGAGACCAGCCAACCTACCGCCAGTCCGGGTAACTCCAGAAAGCCTACCTCCAGTACCAGCAGATGATTGGGATGGAGATGAAACACCAAGACCGGTGCAGGGGCTTCCTCGAGCGATGGGCAGCGGTGGGGGACTGCTGAGAAGTCAAGGCAGAATGCCAGCTGTGGCATTTGAGACACCTAGCAGCTGGGAGCCTCACACTCCAGGACCACAGGGCACTCAGGTGTTCAGGATGGAGGAAGAAGCTTCGAACTTCAATCTCTTTGACTTTGATGAGGACCTGGCGCAGCAATCCTCATGTGCAGGAATTCCTCAAGTAGATCTTCTTGGCCCTCTTGGTGGTGAAGGACATCGAGGGAAAGGTCAAGGGGGAAACGATCATGGAGAACGACAAGGTGATAGACTTCGTTCTCAAGGACCTCTACGGCAAGATCGAGACGGAAGGGAAAGGGAACCTCCTGGACAAAGGCAACGTTCTCTGGATCTTCTGGGTGATGTTCTAAGAGGTTCACATGGTTATGTCTCAGCTCTGCAACGTGGAAGGGCCCAAAGTCCGAAAGATCCACAACGTGGAGGAAGTCGTCATGGAAACGATCGAGACTCACGTGGACTTTCTGGAGACCGTCATCGGAACGATCAAAGTAGGTCTAGAGGTGAAGATCGTGCCAAAGATCATCTGCAAGGAAAAGAACTCCGTGCGGAACCCAAGAAAATCCAACCGAAAGACCAGACAGGTTCAACGTTGGAGCAAGATTTGAGTTCGTTGTTGGTGCAGCAGTTGATGCAAGAAAATGAGGAGCTTCGCAAAAGGTTGGATGCGATGGACAAGAACCAGCCTTCTTCTCATGGACAACAAGGTCAACATGCTCAACAAGATCAACAACGTGATGAATTAGATACTTCAAGTTGGGAATCGATTCCTTCAAGGGCGACTCCAACAACACCTACAAACCGCCAGACCAAAGACGTGGCCAAAGTCACTCCTGGTGGAACTCAACTTCCAGATGGACCACCGCCCATTGACAAGGTGGAGAAGGATCCTATGCCGCCGCCATTACCTCCGGTGCCACCAATGCTTTTTGGGGGATATGAGGAGCACAATGAAGCGGGGGTGAACAAGTGGCTTGGACCTCAAGCAGTACGTGTTGGTGTTCAACAAGGTGATGGAGAGGTACATGGCTTCTGGAATAGCAGAAGAGGAGGAATCCAACAAGTACCTGATCCCGAAGCGGAAAGGGTTCAACGACTTGAGCAAGAACTCAGGGATCTTCGCGAAGCTTTGACTATGCGACGACTACCTGGTCAAGAACCTTTGGGTGCATATGGATCTCAACCATTTCAAAGAGTGGGACCTCCAAGTGCTGATCCGCCGGGAGCTCAATGGCATCTTCGTCAAGCTTGCAATGACGTCAACATGCGCGACTGGATCCAGGTGAACAGTGAGAATCCATATCTTCATCAACAAGATCCGTCTATGGCTGGAAACCAACTTGGATATCAAGGAGGCCAGTTTGGGAATCTTGGTCAAGGTGGAGGTCAACATCAAGGAGGTGGAATTGGTGACCCAAGAAGTTCCTTGGGTGGTGGAGTTCAAGATGATCGGCCTCGTGAGGAAGAGCTCAAGCCGGTGACCATCACTCTGCCGAAGCTCCCGGAATTGGGAGGGAAAAATCAAGGTCTTGAAGCAGGTGACTGGATGGCCCAAATCCGTCCACAAATTGCTGATGTTAGTCACCGTGCAATGTGGTGGTGGGATACTTTGGTGACCATGACCACTCAACGTTATCAACAATGGTTGGGAAGTGACCCCATCACTCGACTCAATGTGCAACCTCCTACAGTTGAGGAATTGCCAAAAGGGTTTACGAGGTTGGAGCAGAGGGTGACGTCTTTGCTCATGCAGGCCCTTCCAAAGACTCTGGCTGCTGAGATGATTGCAAATCGCCAGCTTGGGGCTGCTCAGATCATCTTCAAGGTGATGAAGGTCTACCAACCAGGGGGCTTGGGTGAACGACAAAACACTTTGCAAGCTCTCACAACAACACAACCTGCTGGAACGTACCTGGAAGCTTCCACGTCTTTGAGAATGTGGCAACGGCATCACTCACGAGCTGAAGAGCTGGGTGCAACAGTTCCAGACCCTACTTTGATGGTAGGTGCGCTTGACAAGATCATGTCAAAGTTGTTACAAGGGAATCCTCAGGCGAACTTCCGCCTCAGTGCTTTTCGAATGGGGGCACAAGTTGACACAAAGCCCACAGCTGCCACGGTCAAGCAACTTCATCAGATGCTTCTTGCAGAAGTTGAACTTGCCATGGGTAGTCAAGAAACGCATGGAAAAGGTCAAGGAAGCCCTGCAGTGAAAACCCTGAAGGATAACAAAGCTGGTAGTCCAGCACAACCTGTATGCCGCTTCTGGAAGTCAGATCAAGGATGTCGACAAGGAGCACAATGCAAGTTCCAACATCCAGCGCATGAAGATGGCAAATACCACTGCTACACTTGTGGCGCGACGAACCACAAGAAACCGGATTGCCCATACAACTCTCCAACCAAGGAGGACAAGAGCAACACTACGACTGGAGCTTCAAAAGGTTCTCCAGCCGGGGGGAGTGGTGCCGGTGGTGGTGATGGAAAAAGCTCTGGAAAACAGGGTGGAAAAAACTACGGCTACAAGGGTAAAAGTGGCAAAGCCAATAGAGATGACCAGAAGGGCAACTCAGCAGGATCTAAAGACGATCAAAAGAATGTGAAGAAAGTTGAAACCGATGGAGGAAAAGAAGTACCAGCTGACTCAAAAGGAACATCAGGTGCTGGTACGGGGGAGACTTCGACTTTGGTGACTGAGGTATCATCGTTGATAAAGACTCTTAAAACCCCGGAATCCTCCTCAACAGCATATCGCCATGTCAAGACGGTGAACCTCCGGAAGATTGACATGGGCAAGAATCAAAGGGTTTTGATCGATGGTGGGGCCACTCACGTTTTGAGAAAGGCAAAATCTCGAGAAGAATGGGATCTTGGAGAACCAGTTCAAGTCGCTTTGGCGTCAGGAACCGCAGAACTGAAACAAGATGCGGTGACAGGGTCTTTGTTGACACTCCATGACGTCCAGATGATCATTCCTATGGCAGCATTGACAAGGCTGGGCTATGAGGTGAAGTGGACAGGCTCTGGCTGTAAGATCAACTCACCAGATGGAGCTCAACTACCAGTGCGGCTCGATCAGGGGTGTCCAACGTTGCCTCGGCGAGAAGGGGTAGACATCCTTCAACAGGTCGAAGATCATCAACGACGGGAGACACAGATGAAACTGGCAGCCATTAGACCAAACTTGGAACTGCCAAAAGCGTGTCCAGAAGTGGAGATAGTCAAGAGACTCAAGTCAATTTTTCCTGAGGTGCCTGCAGATCTGGCAAAGGAAATTCCAGGCTTTGCTGAGGTCGACATGAACCAAGTGGTCTTCAACAGACATCATCGACGAAAAGTTCAACGTGCAAAAACCTTGGTGGTGCATCTCTTTTCAGGAGATGATCCAAAGTTCTGGATGGCACAGGAGAAAAATGGTGTTGTCATCATCTGCATTGAGCTGGCGAAGGGGGCTGACCTTCGAAATGGCCATTTGTATGGGTGGCTGGAACAACTGGCGAGGAGCGGCAGGATCGATGTTCTTCTTGCTGGACCACCATGCAGGTCTGTGAGCGTTTGCCGACTACGATCTCTTGAAGGTGATGATGGACCACAGATCGTTCGGGCAAGACATGGCAGTGAACGGTTTGGCAGAAATGGCCTCACGGAAGAGGAGCTCAAGCTGGTCTGCAATGACAATTTGCTCTGGATGAGGACGCTCTGGCTGGCAGTGCAAGCCTATGAGGCGAACCAGAACTTGGAGATCACCTTGGAACAACCACAAGATCCTGAACAGTGGAAGCAACCACCTGTGGACATTAAAGAGAAGATCCCTGGTTGGAATGGCTTTCCAAGCTTCCTGGCATGGCCTGAGACTGAGGTGATGGTGAAGAAATGCCACTTGCGAAGGATCAGTTTCCATCAAGGTGCACTTGGACATCAAACGAACAAACCAACTACGGTTTTGACATCAATGAAAGAACTTTTTGACCTACAAGGATTGATGTCAAGGGGATCTTCCAAGGAATGGCCCTCAGAACTCAATAAGCGCATGGAACTTTCGAGCTCTTTGGCGTCATGGGCACCGGGCTTGAAGAACCTCTTGGTGAAGGGCATCAACAGGGTCAACACGCAGACTCCTGCAGTATGTGCGCTGTCTGCGGTGGAACAAAGACAAATCAAAGAGTGGCAACTGCATGTTTCAAATGGACATAAGCCTTTTAGGCGAGATTGTGCAGTTTGTCTTGAAGGTGCAGGGAGAGATCGAC